GCGGATCTATGTACTATTGGTTGGTGAAAATAAAAGCGAGTTTTTGTATTATTATTATTTATTTGCCTAGTGCTACTTGATTGTCTCATTTTGTTATCTGATGTTATTATTTCCACTGGAGGTATTGACTTACTTTCTAAAGCCGTTTGTGGCAGTGTCCCCTCTGCATCGACCCTGAGGCAGGCAAAAGGCAAGCTTTTGGATCACAGGGAATGCAGCAAAGAGGAGAGTGGAAACTAAGCACCCTCATTTAATCACAGACCCTTGCTGGGCAAAAGTAATCTTACTCTTGTTTTTTTTTTAACTTGTTGCATTTAACATGCATTCTTCATTTTAATTCCTGTATCTCTCCTCTATTGCAAATCATCTCTTGTGTTTTACTACTACAGAGCTGGTTTTCTCTGGATTTTAAGTGTTATTTAAATGTTATTTTTAAACATTATTTAAAAATTGGCAAAGGTTCAGACTTTGGAGCCATCCGAACTCATAAGATGCTGCCTTCATGCCCTTTCTCTGCAGCCTCAAGAAAGAAAATACAGAAAGACACCAGTCAGCAGCACAGTCGAGAGGCCTCAATACGTTGGTAACAGCACTGGTTTGCCTCTGCTCCCAGCAGCACATGGTGATCCACTGTTGGCACCAAACTCTCCCATTTGGGTGGGCAGGAGGAAGCAGTGTTGAACAGGGAGAGGTTTCACCTATGGCTATAGGCGTGAAGCGGCTCAGACAGGGGCTGGTGGCCCATTGGGGTCCTTCAAGGCTTGAGCTTTGCTTCAAGGACATCCACTGTGTCAGGTGTCTCCTAGTGATTGTATATAGTGATAAAATAGTGCAAACTTTTCCCACCTATGAAGGCATACTTCCACCCGCTCATATCCTTAACCTGTGAGAGGAAACCTAAGGCTGGGTTTGACAAGACATTCCAAGTATCTAGAAAATGCAAGTGGATGTCCACAGGGGTTTCTGAACACACCAAGGCAAACATAGTAAATGTAAAGTGGTCTTGGAGGTCAGGCTGTTTATATACCACCTAAGCAAGTGTGTATAAACAGCCAGTTTTCCCAGAAGACAGAGGAAGCAAGGCCGGGAACTGAGCCTGCAGCTCCACAGCAGTCCAGCCTCACAGGAGTCCATCATGGTTTTTCCTTGTGCTAACACTGGCAGGTCAAGGAAATTAAACCAACATTTTTCACTGGATTGGGTTTTGCAGTAGATCATCTCAGATCATGATGAGACTGCTTCCCTTATTCTGATCTCTTCACTCCCTTGGAGCATACACCGGGGACCACTGGAGGTGGAAAGGACTTTGGTGCTGTAAATGCGTCCTAGAGCTCCCTGTGCTGTAACCTACAGGCAGGACCATACATGGTCAAGTCATTGTCTCTAAAGTTCCTGAAAGGCATATCTGCCTGCCTGCATCAGAGATTAGCTTTGATTTGTGCATAACCACCCCTTGGGTTGTAATTCTGGCTCCATGGACTCCTCCTGTGGTGTCAAGTATATGGAAAACCTTTCGTGGTTTGTTTTATTTCAAAACACAAAACCTGGTTTATTTTGAAGAGTTTTCTCACTGACTTCTCTGAAAGAATTATTACTGAGATTTTTTTTTTTGTTCTAGCTTCCATCCACCTTACTGCATGCTTTTACCTTTCATAGCTGACTCACAACTTTTTATTTTAAATGAACAGGGGAGATGATGCTTAATTAAAATTCTTGGGATGGAGGTGGTGATCATTACAGGGTGATGATGCAGAGGGTGAACTCTTCTGTTTATCCACAGAACTAATCGGGCTTGAGAGGTGGGTGTTAAGCCACTGTCCTACCTGGAGAAGCTGCCTCTGAAGCACAAGCGGTTAATTAGTTTTCTGCTCCTTGGTCTCTCTTCTGTGATTGCCAACAAAGGTAGCAATTACCAGGTTATGTCAGGGGATGGTCCCTGATGTGGATAACTTGGAACTGGGAAACTACACTGACAACTCAGCAAATTTCTTACAGGCCAGAGAACACCCTTGGCCTGGTCAGTAGTAAAAGAAAGATGCTACCCAGACTAAATTTGTGCTAATACCTTAGGGCAAAAGGTTCCATATCCATTACGGGTCCCTTGAAGCATTTGGTTGTTTGAAGGATCAACTCTACCCAAACACAGTCAAGAATGTGGTACGTGCTGTAAAGGGTGAGTTGTTTTGTGCCTGTCTTTTCAGTATCTTTTTTTTTTTAGGCAACTTCTGTAGCATAGTTTATGCTTCACATAACAAGTATGTATGCTGTAGTATTTGTTGTGCAAAAAATAGAGAAAAAAATCATAGCAACACATTTGTTCTTGTGGAAGCAGCCTGAATCAAAGGAGGTGGTTCAGGAATGAATTTCACAATTTGCAAATGCCTAAGGGGAGTTATGATAGCTGGTTCTTTAGCCCAGCGTTCAAGGGTACCATACAATCAAGTGTTTGAACACTGAAACACAGCAATTTGAGATTTAAAAAAAAAAAGAAAAAAGTAGTGTAAAATAATTGACTACTTGAAATAATTTAACAAGGACTGTAGTGGATTTAACAGGAGTTGTAGTGGGTTATTCATTGCTGGTACTTTTGAATCAAGATCAGATGTTTTGTTCATGCAGCCAGTAATGGTAGGAAAATCTTATGAGCACATTAGTTCAGACTAGAAGATCACAATGGTTGGTTTTGGTCTGATACTCTATAAGTGCACTGTCCAGAACAATGTAGTAGTTTCTGTGCTCAAGCCAGAAAAATCCAGGGAAAAAAGAGCCATGCAGCCAACTATCTCTGTATATCCTCCGACACTTCAGTGTCAGGGAAAGCATTAGTAAAATGGGGGACAGTTTGACTGACCAGGAGTGTAAGTGAACATCTCTTTGTTGGCTTCAGTAGGCTCATGGTCAGGAAACTTCACAAACTTATCTGCAGCCATTGTGTTGGTTGTGGTGCAGAAGTTTCCAAAGGTGATTCTCATTTTTGCAATGTGCTGTGCAGAGGTGTTGAGCCCCTGGTGTGGGGAGGTGCTGAGAAAAGGTCAAGCACCTCTGGAAAAGGAGTAGGTGATATATGCAAATTGTTGGTATTTATTCAGTCACGTAGTGGGAAAGAATAAACATTATTCCTGACATTTCCATTTTTGATTAATGATGAACAGAGTTGGCAGATTTTCAGCTGGCCGCCACATGGGGTCTGCTCAGTCCAACAAACAGAACAGGAACAGTCTGGGTCTCGTAAAGTTTGTCCAGGTGATATGCCAATTTTGACCTCAAAATTACTTAGCCGCTTCAGAATGGAGGTAGTACAACCAGCGAAACTGCTTATGGAAGCAAAATGGGGTGTGGAAGGATGGGAGCTGGTTAGTTTGCTGGAGTTTCAGCAGGTTTTTTTCAGTCGCAGGAGCCACAGAGTGTGGCTTTGATTCCCTGAGGTTGGATCCGCGCGGGGCCTCCTGAATTCACCCACGGTTACAGGTGTAATGGTCTCTGGGCACATCTAGTCGGTCGGCGGTGGGGATCGGGTCGGGATCGGGTGCTTGTAGCGTCGTGAGCCCGGGGTGGGCTGTGCCACGTGAGATCAGATAGCCCGGCGTTGGTCCTGATCCATCGGCCGGCCGGTCTGTCTGCCTGCTTCTGGCCGTGGGGAATCAGCCCACGGGAGGAGGGGGTGTGGGCTTCTCCGTGAGAACTCGCGTGTGCCTGGCCGAGGGTTAGGGGAGCCCGTGGGGACGCGGGGGATAGGGCTGGGGACAGGGACGCTGCTCTGAGCGCCTCAGCCCGCGGCAGCCGCCGTGCCTGTACCCATCAGGGCTGGCTTCCCTCAGCGCCCCGCGGACAAAGCCATTCAAATTTAGAGGAGTGAATTTGAATCCATGCAAATTCGGTTCCTGAGGGAAGCGATAAGTGTCTGTGAAGTGCCCCGTCTCAGTCCCGCGCGGCGGGTCCTGGCAGATGAAGCCGCCCCCGGCCGCGGGACGTCGGGGCGAGACGGGACACGACACGACACGGGGCTAGGTCACCGCTGCCCCTCGCAGCGGAAGCGGGGGTGGGTGTGGGGGGGTGTGTGTTGCCGCTTTGCCCCCGAGATGCAGCGCGAATAAATTCCCTTTGATAATGACTTCCCCAGGGAGACAAAAGAGCGGGAGGGAAGAGGAAATTTGACCGCAGTGTTCACGGTTACATTGGCGGTGCCGGGGGGAAGGTGGCCGCCTGCCTTTGAAGCCGAAACAGCTACCTCTCGGTGCTTTTTATGCCTACGGGGGTGGGGGAAGTGGTAAAAGCGGCGGCTGGCAGCCGCTTAGGATATGCACCGGTAGTCCCGGTGCTACTTCTCTGTACATGTGCTGGGGCTCGGACACCTCTTTCCCTACTTAAGATGTGCCAGAAGAGACAGCGATGAACGGCTGCTCGCTGTGGTCGTCGGCTTCAAACTGGGTTTATTATTTTTATTATTCGTGCACAGCGATCTAGAACAAATGATTTCCCGTCCTGACCCGAGCCCTTCCCGTCCCAGTGCGCGGGGCGGCAGTGGCTGGGCCGGGCAGGGTCAGCCCGGGGCGGCCGGAGCGTGGCCAGGGTGGGGTGGGAAATCTATTTCAGGCGTAAACACGAACAAAAGCGCTGTCCATCGTGTCCTGAGCGCAGAATTTATTGCTTCTGCAGGCGCTCGGTCCCTCGGGTGGGCAGGCGGCGGGGCCGACGACCCTTCCTGCCTCGGGACCGGTGGCAGGAGCCGCTCCCCCTTCCCTCGCTCCCTCCCCCGCCTCGGGCAGCACTTTGAACGAAGATCGTTGGTGGGAGAGATTCTTCCCGCCGCCTGACGAGGAGCGGTGAGAGTGCCCGGCGCTGGGGTACGGCGGGGTCGGGGGAGCCCCCCGGGGGGAGGCGGGAGGTGCTGCCGCTCCGGGGCGAGTCTGGGGAGGAGCGCTCGGGAGGCTGCTTCCTCCCTGGCTTGCCGCCCCGGGGGAGGGGGACGGAGGGCGGTGCAGGTATCTCTCCCGCTGCGCTCCCACCAGGCGGGACGGGGAAGGGAAGTGGTGGCGCCTCCCGGCAGGGGCAAGGCTGGAGGAGCTCCCCGCCGCCCCTGCCCTCGGAAGAGTCGTGCCTGGCGCTGGCCCCTCCTCGGGACCTGCCGGGCACGGGAGGGAGCCGCGGGGAGCTGCCGGCGCCTGGCCGGGTGCGCGGGTCTGCGCAGCCCCGGGTCTCGGTGTGAAACTGCCGCCGACGGGGCGCGGGTCGGGTCTGCAGCCGGCATCGCCTCTCCTGCGCCGCCTGCCCCGGCTCCGCGGCAGCCTGGCCGCTGTTTTGGTGCCGTACAGAGGTAATTTGCGGTTACTTGTATCCGCTCTCCCTGGAGGCAGCTCGGCCGGAGGGGCAGGGTGAGTGGGTGGGTGCCAGTGGATGCCGGTGCCTTCGCCCATCCGGCTGCAGAGCGTGGGGAGCCGAGGGGCTGGAGGCGCCTCTGCCCCACCGTAACGTCTTTGGAACTTGGTCAGGATAGATAGAACCCCACCTGTCCTTCAGGGAGCTCTGCCTACTGAGAACGGCACCGTCCCGGCTCCTCCGGGATAAGCGCTCGCGGCGGGACTGTCGATACACAAGGCTAGGCGCAGAATTTTTTTATTTTTCTATTCTTTACAATTCCAGCCTTGTGACTTATTGAACACTTTCTTCAAGTGTTTTCACTGGAAACTTGTCTCAAATGAGGGCTGTGAGCCCTAACAAAGAAGGGTGTTGTTCGAGAGCCAACAGGTGACGGGGTGAAACCTGAGTATATGTGTACATTGGAGTAAAGTCTGGCTGCTGTTTAAAATAGAATTTAAAAAAATCAATGGGAGACTGTAAAAGGCAAGATTTCTTTCTTTCTAAATCTGTACACCCTCCTAAGGAGAGAGGGGGGAAGCATCCGTGAGAATACGGCTTCCTCGGCTGGAAGTTTGGGTCTTGCCTTACTGCAGTGTGCGCTTGAGTTTCCATCAGCGCTGGAAAGTGCCAAGGATAACACGGCCAAATCAGATGTGTTGGCGTGGGGCGATGCTTTGTCATGGGGCTTCCTCCTTTTGTTAATGGAGGTAGGCTGTCTTTGCAGTGTGGCTCGTCAAAAGAAAATACCCTGAAAAGGATAGTCTGATTTTCAGTTGGAAAAGTAATCTTTGCGCTGGAATGCTAGAGGAGGAAAGCAGTTAACTCATCTGTCGGTCCTTGTTCGCTGGCTAATGAAAGGGAAAAAAGTTCTTACTTGTAGGGTCCATCTGGAGGTCCGTCGAATGGATAAGTAGACAGGCTCCGTTCTTTCCCCCACTGCTCTGGGTAGTTCGTTACTCAAAGGAGTCAACAGATGAAGAAGTCGCTGGTACTGATACAGATTCTGATCATCAGTTGGATCCAGATTTTCCAAGCACAGAGCTATAGAGGTCACTGTAAATATGTTACTTGTTCTGTAGCTAGGGAATGGGACTTCCTGATGATGTGCGTAATACATATTGGAAATAGTCTTTGAATTATTAATAGGTTACTTTGTGGTTGTTTATTGCTGCTGTATTACGCCCTTCCTCTTCTAATGTAGTTATCTTGCACCAGGGATTAAATACACAGGTGAATGAGCTGGCCACGCTAATCTTAACTTGTTGAGCCTTCATTGTGAATGGATGCATGTGATATGCATCTTGTATCCCCTACAGCCTTGTTAACAAGCCTTCTAACAAAAAAAGTTGTTAAAACAATTTACCCTGCAGGACAGAGTAAAACAGCAGGGGATGGGCAAGGAGATGTTTGTCTAACTGTGCTCACAAATCATGACCTTTCTATCTGGTCAGGGGGGAACATAATCAGTGAGCTGGAAATCCTAGCACAGGGATAACCTTCAAATGGGCTTCAGCAACAACTTTGTTCTAAGTTTGATATCCCAATATTTTTTGGACCCATAGGTTTGTAATTAGGAGTGTAGTTTGTCTTTGCTTCTAAGGAATTTCTCATATTATGGTTGTTTTAATTCATCAGTGGAAAAAACACATTAATTGCTTTTCTTTTTAAATCGAATTTAGCTGTGTAGTTCAATTATGTTATTCATAGTTGTCAACCTGCCAGTGAATACCTCCTTGTAGACTATAAAGCCTTTTTTAAGAGGTAGTATTTGAACAGAGCTGAAACCTCAAAATGTTCCACAGACTTCAAGAAAGCAAAGCAAAACAAAACATCCTTGCTGTGTTCTGTAGGTGTCATGGCAGGAGAAGAAAACATACCTTTCCACTCATCCCTTGGAAAGCACTTATTTTTTCAGCTGTTGTTTATATTCATTTGAATCCTCCTTAGGATGTAATCATTTTAAACAGATCACTTTGAAGGATGAGTGTGGTTGGAAGGCAGGGAGGAAAAACCCTGTAGTTTTAAAATGCAAACCAAATCACACTTGAGCAGGAGAGGAAGAAGAACTCCTAAACAAGCAATTGCTAAAATAGTTCTGCAGATAGCCTGCTGTTAAACTAGGCTGGATTAGAAACCTTGCTCTCAGCAACACCACGGTATTTGTGACATGGCCATATTGATACGTGATGTACTGTCAGTCATTTTATAGCCAGCTTTGCGTTTGCTCTATGGGAGCATTTTTCTTTGAAAGTGAATTATGTCCTTTTGAGTAATCTCAGTTCACTGAAGATTTGTGAACGTTGCTTTGACCATTTCCAGTTGCCTTATCTGGGGAGGAGAACCCTGACAATAAAGTTGCATTTTAGAGTTGGAGGTAAGGAGTATTTTTCCTTTATTCTCTATCAGCCTAACTTTCAACTGTCTTGTATGACTGGAAACTGGACCTGTGGGTCTGTGGTTTCCTCTTGTTGGTGTGCAAGCTCTCTTAAATGGATTGGTCAGAGGACGCCCAGGCAGGACCAGTTTCTACAGAAAAGCAGTCTGGTCTCTTACCAGTGCCTTGTCTTCCTTAGGAATTAGGCAGCGCTCCTACACTTACATACCTTTGCTAGTTGAAATCCTGATGTTTCCCAGCGCTGCTTTTTGCAGTGTGGAAGTAGTATTTAGCCTTAGTATTCAAAATACTCAGCAAAGTTAACACATCACCATGCGTTCAGATTTTGGATTGTTTCCTTGCCTTTCAAGAGAAGTAAGTCAGAGAAGTTAATCTCTGATCTTGCAGAGAAAGGGTTTTGCACAATCAATATGAAGCGATTACTCAGTTACTGGTGGGCTTGTGAGCGTTTGGCATTGTGTGAATGAGGCAGAGGTACACTCTGCTCAAGTGCCGAGGCACTGCCAGAGCTTAACCTGTCTCTTTGCCTAAATTATGTTTCAAGTCTGCTTTGTGTGGTGCGCGGTTGAGGTCAGGCTGCCTAATGAAATATTGGCAAAGACATTTCACCTACTGACTCCTTTTATTCCTGGTTTATTGGGCAGGAGTCAGTTCTTGAAAACTGACTGTTTGACCACCACAAGTTCTTGCGTTGCGATGCCATAAGAATTGGAAATACCAGCTTAGATGTCAGTGAGTGACACAGTATTGTAAATTAGATATCTGTCTCTTTCTAAGGGGAAATGGTAAAACAGTTCATCTGCTGCTGAGATAATATTGGAAGGAATTGGGCTTCTCGGTGATCCTCATAGTGACTTTTTACTTAAGAGTTATTTGGATATAGATGATGCAGGACACAAGCTGCCAATCTGAGCATCCCCATCCCTCAGCAACAGTGAGCACTGTTGCCTCTTTTTGCTAGAGTGATTTCCTAAGTGCATCACAGCATTCCTCTATCCTTCCTTCCTCAAACCCCAGTTTTATGCAAGCAATAACAAAAACATACCTGATGCTTAACTTTACTTCCACTGGTAAGTTGAAAAGGGAAACAGTCTCTTGTCTTGTCATTTGTTTCTGAAGGCAACTAATTCAAGGGATATAGTAAGTACCAGGAAGTCTGTTTTCTATTTGAAATACATGTGATTGAGTTTGGTTATACTCACCTTCCTTGAGAAAGATGGTGATATGGCAGTGTTAAACTCAGAAGCTGTTTTACTAACCTTCAGTTGTTCAACTTGAGTAAGATTTCAGGCATGTGCCTGACAGCTCACCAGCTTTCCAGAAATAGCCTGTTCTCCGAAGGGAAGTTGGCAGGTTTGCTTGCCCCATCAAATATTAAATTAATCTCTTATTACAGTGCAGCTATGAAGTGTGTTGGCATCTCAGCCATGCACCAAAAATAATGCCTATGTTTTTGAACCAGAAGGTTTTGGAGTAAAGTTAAATAATTTAATTTCTATGAGCACTAGCCCAGTGGAAGAGTAAAGTAATGCCATCTCTTTTTATTGGGTGTGGGAATGTATAGATGTATAGAAAATAGGAGTAGATAAGACCGTATACTACTGGGTATTGTAATTTCTGTGAGTTTGTTGCTCTGGATGCATGTGGGCACTTTTTATGGAACAGGTTTAGTTTATGTGCTGAATCATCAGAACTTGGCACTAACCAGTGCCTGATACTTGAAGGAGAAACTCCTGTTGAGTAACCAACAAAATAGTTGGGTACACAGTCTTAAATCTTCCATCTGTGATCTATCAGCAACTTACTTTCTCTAATATGGTGGTGATATACTGGATATGTAATAACATGGGACTCAACAGAAGTTTTTAGAGTGCTCTCCACATTAGACGCACCAGCAAGGTTATATGGCAAGGAGATTAGAATTTTCTGCTGCTCAGATCTAGCACTCACAAAATTGGATCTCTGTTTAGATAAATAGGTGGAAGAATGTCCTAAAATGGGGAAGACATAGGTCATGTGTAATGTGGTACTGTTACAGCAAACTTGTTCCTACCCTGAGTGGTCAGGATGTCTGCCATTTTAGGACACATCCTCTGTGGGTTTGGTTATCTGTATTTTTATGTATATATATATATATATTCATTGAAATTCCTCATCTGAATTTCCTAAGAACTGCTAGACATTCTAATGTAAGATATTTATCTTAAGCTTTTTACTACAGACTGCTATGGATCTTGGTGAGAGCCTTCTTTGCCAGTTGTTACTCAAAATGATCCCAGTGATATTAATCTTTGCAGGCTTCATGAATCAACAGAAGCATCACCCTGTAGGGTTTTAAATTGACAGAACAATCATGATGTATTTTACAGAGACTAATCTGGCATAATTGAATTTCAGATATTTAGCAGGACCAACGCCCTTCCGCTCCCATACAGCTGAAACAAAGTTCTCAGAGGAATCCAGCAGATGCTTGCTGCTCTGTGCCTACCTTGTGAACAACAGGATGCTACTTGCACAACTATCTTTTCCCAGTAATTTCTTTAGTTTTTAACATGTGGTTGTCATGTCTTTTGTTTTACTAGATTAGTGGTAGTAATGGCTTCAGGAAGAGCTTGTGTCGTTCATGTTGTTAATATCTGCTCAATGAGTCTTTCCTAGATATACCTATGTACAACCTGTGATGTGAAACAAGCAGAACTGTAAAAGGTGACAAGTGTTAATATTGAAATACATTGTGGTTGCCAATTGTGGTAGTGTGTGTCTAGGGTTTGTTTTGTTTTTTTCTTGAGTAGTTTTATAACTCTTTCAAGAACTTTTGAATTGCTTATAGCAAGTTGTAATGAAGCTTCAATAATTTATTATTCTGGACAACAAAAGGAATACTGAACTGTTTTAAGATCATTTACACTGATAATTAGTTGTTGCATGTTCAAATTTATTAAAGGTCTATTAATCTCTTTCTCTAGATCAATTTCTTGATGAGCTGCAGCTGAAATATTTAACACTTCACACTCATGCCACTGGAGATGGAGCCCAAAGCCAATAACCTCGTTTTTGGGTGTCAGCGAAGCTCAACCTCTGATGATGACTCTGGCTGTGCCTTGGAGGAATATGCTTGGGTTCCCCCAGGCCTCAGACCAGAGCAGGTACCAACTATACTTCTCCATTTTAAAAATAAGCCTCATAAGGACTGTCTGAGGGAGTGATGTGCTGCCTCTACAAGTGTAATGAAATTCTTATAATGTATAAAACTTTAATTCATATAGAACTTTTCACTTCTTTTTTTGTTTGTTTCCTGTTCCAATGAGGCTGTGTGTAGGGAGCTTAAAATCCTCAACCCTGAGGAGTTTTATGTTCCAAAGAACAGTTCCCAGTCAAGGTTTTTCACTAAGTATGTGCTGCAGAGATATGTATTATCAAGTCTAAAAGTAGCACAGAAATGTGCTTTTTCTTTGAAAGTAGTTATTAGGTTAAATTAAAGCTTATGGCATACCTCATGGCATTGTGCTCTTTGGCCAAGTACTTCATTGCACTTGGCAAATTAGGCATTTGACATCTAGAACGTGGATGATACTACAGCACACGTAAATGCAAGTGTTCTATCACTGTGACAAATAATAACATATTTTACACTTGTTTAAATAGTTGTATGGCTGTCATTTGTCCCTGCTAGGATTCCTCTTGCATGGTGTCTGGAGCTGACATTCATGGGTTGGCTGTGCTGTTCCTTCCCCTCTCCTCATTACCCTTTTTTTTTGTATAACATCACAGTAATGGAAATAAAAGTGAAATTATTTATGAGCAAGTTTCTGTGGGAGATCAAAATGAGCCTCTCGTGGTTTTCATTTACTTGATGATATTGTAACTGTGCTTAAGCTGTGTGCTTGCTAATATCCAGAACTCAGACTTTAGTATTAAATGGCCAGGGTGGCTTTGCAACATCTGCTAAAGGAGGCAGAGCAATCCTGGCAAGCTTATACAGTTCGTAGTTAAAAAAAGTGCAGAAGATGTCTCCTTTTTGCAATGCAGAGATTTTCTTAATAGCGAGTTTAGTAACAAGTCAGCAGGAATTGCAAATAATGGGCTATTTTTAGGGCAACTCTTTTTATCACTTATTTAAGCATCTATAAGAATCCTGATGAATCAGACCTTAAGGCAAACAGCAAGCTAACATTCTGCCAGAACAATTAAATGCCCTAAAATATCCTCATAATCTCAGCTAGCTCAAACTCCCTGAAGATTTTTTTTTCCAAGACAAATTACTTACTTTGAGAACAGTGCAATAAACTTGAGAAAAGGGCAGAAAGTATCTTTAAAGCTTCACTTCTTGCTGCATGTTATCTTTTTCCAGAGCTTTTTGAAATACAGTTAGTAGCAAGTGGGCTTACAGTAAACTTCAGTTGGTTTAAGTTTTGGTTAAATGAAGACTAAGTCATGTTTTGTACAGCCTGTCTCTAATAATTTTGATTGCTTTCTGGCTTAAGTGACAGATTACTGCTTCTTTTTCTGTCTTGAACAATAATAAGCTGTTTACCTGAGCATTATCTAAATCTGGATGGCAAGTAATATTTTTCCCAATAGCAAAACTTACAGCTCCAGGTCTCATGACAAGCTGGAAGCTGCATAGGAAAAACAATAAATCTGTAGCTGTTCCACAAAAATATTTTTTGCCATTGGGCTTTGTCATAGTGTTCATTACAGCTTTCCTGTCATAATATTCTTCTGAAAAAAAAAAAAAGAGTGAAGATTGATACAAAAACATTCATCCCGTGAAAATTCCATGGTTAACTTGCACTTGATTGAAATGTGGCTGGATCCAGCCTCCTCCCAAGGGAAGGATGTTTCCACCTTCTTACCAAAGCCCACATGGAAGCAATGAAAGCCGATGCTTTGGGTGAACCTGGTCAGCAGGAGACTACAAAACAGCTTTTGTCTCAACAATGTGTAAAATGCAGAGAGCAAATTAAATTTGTTTATATAGTGGCTGTTTTCTGGAAAGCTTCATGCCTTGTGTGGTAAATTACAGAGGGAAACTTGGAATTTCCACAGAGTTGTTGACCAGCCCTAAAGGGGGTGGGAATAATGAGAACATTAAATGTGCATAATTTATGATACCCCCCTAATTGTCACTGCAAATTGCATTCCAGAAAAGCAATTCAGCAGCTGGGTGCTAGTTTTATCAGAGACAATTCAGGTTTGCTGAGCTGGTTTATTTGGGTCTCGTATTTTCAGCAAAAACCCTGTCATAGGTCTAATGTAGCGTGACCTCCTTCCTTCATAAATGAGACCTGAGATAAAACAGTAGGTAAAAGATGCTGGCAGTGCTTGGGTGATGCATCTCCCTTGGACTGAACTCTGTGTTTCTCCTGGTCAGGTCCAGCTGTATTTCGCCTGCTTGCCAGAGGAGAAGGTCCCTTACGTTAACAGTCCTGGAGAGAAACACCGGATTAAACAACTTCTCTATCAGCTGCCACCCCATGATAATGAGGTAAATACAGAATTTAGGATGAACCATCAGGGCTTGGGGTCTCCTTGCCAGCTTTTACATGGAGAATTACCTGCCTGTGTATTTATTACAAGCCTAAACCGTGGCCTGCAGTGGCATCTGAGCTATAAAGCAGCATGGTGTGTACACTGAGTCCATTGTTCAGCTGTCCGCTTGGCCTGTGTGCAGATAAGAGCTGTCTGGAAGGACACTGCTTCTGCTTGTTAGGGAGGTTGGTGTCACTGCAATAAACTTAATACAAGTTGGTTTTATAGTGTTTGCAGCCACCCACCAATTACCAGGAACCTACAAATTCCTGAAATTGCATTGTAGCGCACAAAAAAGGATGCTTTGTGATAGTAAAAGGTTTGCATCTCAGTTATGCAGCGTAATTTGGAGTAGAAGTGGAAATAACAAACAAGCTCTTTGTAAGGAAAGGGGCGTGGATGTCAATACTTAAGATCTTGTGTCTACTGCAATACTTAGTTGTGGGCACTTAACCATAAATCTAAAAGACAATGTTACGGCTGATTTGGGTTCATTCCATTGTTTTAGGATAGCAGCAGATTTTGGGTTGACTTTTAAAAATCTTTTTTCTTTCCTAAACAACTCCTTAGTTTAGTATGGTGGGTTTTTTTATCTCTAATGCAAAATCTCTCTCCATACTCCTTTTGTGTTATGCCATATTACCTAAATATTAAGATGGCAGAGAAGGCAAGTTGGAAAAGTTTAATGATGAGTGGCAGCAGGCCTGATGAATTCCTTGCATATATGCACTTACTTATTAATGTGTTACTTTAAAGGCTCAGTGTATAAAATAAGTTCTCTTGTGTTTTCACTGGAAGGTGAGATACTGCCAGTCTTTAAGTGAAGAAGAAAAGAAGGAACTGCAGATATTCAGTTCTCAGCGCAAAAAGGAGGCACTTGGCCGAGGCACTATTAAACTACTCTCAAGAGCAGTGATGCATGCAGTTTGTGAACAGGTAATACTCCTAGTGCCACAAGCTGACTACCAGGCTGAATAATCTAAAACTACAGTATCTCAGTATTAAAATTTAAGCTTATCTCTGTCTATATCTGAAAACAACAACAAAACCAAAAAAAAGGATTTTTGGAAGCTGCATGGAAGAAGAAAGAAGGTAGTGCTTGCTTAAGCAAAACACAACCTTTGATACTGGGAATGAACTGAGTCTTTGATGTATTTCCTACTCAAAAAAAACCCCTAATGCTGACTCATACTAAAGTAATGACAAATGAAAAACAGACATATGCTTTAAAATGTTATTTTGTATAAAACAAACTTATATTCACAAAAGGTTCATTGAGACACAGTTTGTCTAGACCAAAATTGATAACAATTTTTCCCTCTTGTCAGAATTTTTAACTTAGTTTAAACGCAAGAAGCTAGTAGTTTGGGATGGGAACTGTATTCACTTTCTGCGTTTGTTCCTAGTGTGGTACAAAAATAAACGGCGGTGAGGTTGCAGTTTTTGCCTCGAGAGCCGGGCCTGGTGTGTGCTGGCATCCCTCGTGTTTTGTGTGCTTCACATGCAATGAGCTGCTTGTTGACCTTATCTACTTCTACCAAGATGGAAAAATTCACTGTGGCAGACACCATGCTGAACTTCTCAAACCTCGATGTTCAGCCTGTGATGAGGTAAATAATTCACATTTTACAGCCAATCTACACTCCTGTTGTTCAGTTAAGAAACTGCAGTTGGGAAATTCCTAACTTCAAATGCAGTCACTTAAGAAGTCAGGACTCTGCTGCATAGATGTGTCTGGAGGCTGAGGGGCATTTAATTTCTTGTCAAATTGGCAATATTACAAGCAATATGATGGTCTTTAGAAGGCACAAACCTGTTTGTGTTTAGAGTTGAACCTTGTAGATCAAATAAGAAAAAGTATCTGTACAAATATTCCAAAATATCATCCTTATAGAGGCCTCTTTAATGGTTGAATTCTTAGGTTCCTTTTTTTTTTTTTTTTTGCTTTAAAATGTGCTGGTTTTCTTTTTTTTTTTTTTTGTTATAGAAAAGGTTGGAATGCCACAATTGCTGTGGGAGGTCGTTGTTTCTATCTTTGTATGCAAAAGGCAGCTAAATAAAAATAAACTTAGTGTATGAACTGCAGAGCTAGGATATTTTACATGCTCGGGTTTTGGCCACTTAACTAAAAGTATACATTTTATTTCTGAACAGATAATTTTTGCTGATGAGTGTACAGAAGCTGAAGGTCGCCACTGGCACATGAAGCACTTCTGTTGCCTTGAGTGTGAAACAATCCTGGGTGGACAGAGATACATCATGAAGGATGGGCGACCGTTCTGCTGTAACTGTTTTGAATCTCTCTATGCAGAATACTGTGAGACCTGTGGGGAACATATTGGTAAGTCCTTTTTAAGCATTAAAGTTACAAATTAAGGGAAAGGGAAAGCCAATTTATGAACTGATTTCACGTTCCAGAAGCATGAATTCTGCAAGTAATTTTTTAGAGAAACCCAAAGCACTGCTTTTTCTCCCTTTCTAGGTGTTGACCATGCTCAGATGACCTATGATGGACAGCACTGGCACGCCACAGAAGCTTGCTTTTCTTGTGCTCAGTGCAAGACCTCTTTGCTTGGCTGCCCTTTCCTTCCAAAGCAAGGGCAGATTTATTGTTCAAAAACCTGCAGCTTGGGAGAGGATGTTCATGCCTCCGACTCTTCTGATTCTGCGTTTCAGTCAGCTCGATCCAGAGATTCCAGGAGGAGTGTCCGCATGGGAAAAAGCAGCCGGTCAGCTGACCAGTGCCGTCAGTCTCTCCTCCTGTCACCAGCTGTCAATTACAAATTTCCTGGCCTTTCAGACAATGCTGATGATACTCTCTCTCGTAAGTTGGATGATTTAAGCCTTTCAAGGGAAGAGGCAAGCTTCGTTAATGAAGATTTCTGGAAAGGAAGAGTAGAGCAAGAAATGCCTGAAGACCCTGAAGAATGGGCAGAACATGAAGATTACATGACTCAACTTCTTCTGAAGTTTGGTGATAAAAGCCTTTTCCAGCAGCCCGCTGAAGTAGACATTAGATCAAGTGAACACTGGATTTCTGACAGCATGGTCAAGAGCAAGTTGGACTTGAAAAAAAATAATCCAAGCCTAGCAAGTAAGAAGTATCAATCAGACATGTACTGGGCCCAGTCACAAGATGGTTTGGGAGACTCTGCATATGGCAGCCACCCAGGCCCTGCCAGCAGCAGGAAGATCCAGGAGCTAGACATGGAACATGGGGCATCAGGATACAAACACGACCAAACACCGTGGTATGGAGGTTCACTCGAATGTTTGTCTGACTTGAAACAGCAAGAACAAAGTGTTCGAGACTCAATGGATTCCTTGGCTTTGTCTAACATAACAGGTAATGGGGAAATAAATGAATGGTTTTGATGGAGAGGTCAACCAAAGTATGAGTGTTAGAGTATTTTCAACAAAGATTTTTCATTTCTGTGATTTCTAAAAAGCTTTAGTAGTAGGAGATGCATGTAAAGTAGGCAACAGCTTTAATCAAGCACATCTTTAGTGAAATATGTTTCTGCTACTAAAATTCTTTTAGACTCTTCTCCTTTCCTTTTGAATTCTCTTTTCTTTGTCAGAGTAAGAATGGTCTTAAACTGTGCATTTGTTATATACAAATCACCACTTTAAGCAAATGACAATTTATTTTTGCCATACCTTAAGTACAAAAAGTTGCATTATATATTAGGATAACATTAAAGATAATCTGCAAAACACTTTAGATAATTTCCTGATTTGCTTGTAAAAATATGTAGGAAGTCTGAAAGGATGGTAAATTTCTTAGCCTTAGGAAATTAGGTTTATGAGATTATCTTTCTCCATTGACTAAAAGGAAACTGGTAATCCGCTTTTGTGAATCTCCTTGTCAAACGTGATTGTCAAAAGTTACCCAAAGGGATAAAGTGCATGTTAACCTTCCTTTCCTATTTCCCTACAAAACCCCCAAACCTGGGAGTTAGAGACCCATTTTAAAAGTTGTTCAATCATCTTCTCCATTCTTTTCCTCCTGTAACCTGAATTACTGCAACTACTCGTGTAGCTCAGGCCCAACCACAGGCTGGCTGCATTTGCCAAGCAGTAATGAAGGAACTGAGGAGGGGAGGTTGTTTCAGGGAGCACAGGAGGAGAATGAACTAGAGGTGTTGCACCTGGGACCATCACAGGGCACGTGACACTGCTGTGGGAATGAAGGGTCAGTAGACACAAATGTGGAGTACACCAGGCCAGCTTATTGTTGATGCTTTTTGGAGGGTAAGGATCCTTCTTTGCAAGGCAGTAAAGCTTGGCTTTCCTGTAGCACCAGCTGGAACATGAATTTGGCAGTACCAGAAACATGAATTATTTTAGCCCTAAAAACGGCAAGCATAGACTGCAGAATAATTTTAAATAATCCTTTTTTCTTAAAGGCCTAGCTGTATTCATGTTTCAAAATTTTAAACTAATAGAATTTCTGCTCTTGATGTCCTCATGAACTAATTCTTTGGTAATCAGAGCTAATATTTAAATGTTTTAAGTCAAAACAAAGTTTAATCTTCTGTGAAGCTAGTCCTTTAGTTCTGAATAGTTCCGAAAGGTCTGCTTTGCTGACAAGAAGCATTTTATATTTTGTTATAATACTTGTCTCCATCATGCTTCTCTCATTTCCTTTTCTTCCTTTTTCCCCACAGGGGCTTCAATGGACGGAGAAGGCAAACCACGGCCATCTCTCTACTCTTTGCAAACTTTCCAAGAGCTGGATGTGGAGGACTGTGAGAAGATGAGCAACATGGGAACTCTAAATTCTTCAATGCTCCACCGGAGCACAGAGTCCTTGAAGAGTCTGAGCTCAGAGTTGTGTCAGGAAAAAGTCTTGCCAGAGGAAAAGCCAGTCCATATGCCTGTACTGAGAAGATCTAAATCCCAGTCTAGACCACAGCAAGTGAAGTTTTCAGATGATGTCATTGATAATGGAAGTTATGAGAATCTTGAAATACGTCAGCCTCCAATGAGTGAAAGGACTCGTAGGCGTGTTTACCATTTTGAAGAACGTGGAAATCGGCCTTCTCACCATCGCAGAAGAAGTAGGAAGTCTCGTTCAGATAACGCACTTAACTTGGCCACAGAAAGAAGAAGCTCTCCGAGAGAGAGATTTCGTTATTACTCCCCTCAGGATCATGAAAAATTTATTCAGAATAGGAGCTCACGTGAGCTTCGGGCATTTATTCAAAATTCAGAGCTGTATGGACAATATGCCCATACTAGGTCTGACTATGCACTGAGGAATCAGGTGGTTGATAAGTTTTTTGGACTATATGGTGATGAAGATGACTCCTGGTGTTCAACTTCATCCTCATCATCCGATTCTGAAGAGGAAGGATATTTTCTAGGACAGCCAATTCCACAACCACGGTCACTGAGATATCCATACTATACAGATGATCTTTCTGGTCCAACTACTGCGTTATCTACTTCTCAGTTTGGACAAAGGACAACCAAATCAAAGAAGAAGAGGGGACACAAAGGAAAAAATTGCATTATTTCTTAATTAATTCTTAATATTTCTTAATTGGGAAGACCAGTCAACTCTGTAGCTACAGTATGAACCACATCTTTTTATATTAATAATTGTACTTAGGCAAGTTGCTAAAGTTCTTAATGCTTTGCCATTGTAAATGATAACCCTGCCAGAGTTTACATTGTACAAGTAACATTCAGAAATGTCCCCACACCAAATGATCTGCTCAGATACTGCTAGGTTTACATACTGTGTTTCAGCTGTCAAAATACTGTTACTGCAGTTCTTGATAGAGACTTTTTGTAGACATTTTATTTTATGCTCGCTATTCACCTACACTGAATTATCTGAGAGAGGATTCAACAAAGATAAGTAAATAAAAATGTCAGTCCTGTGCTGTAGCTATATCCACACAGGTGATCTTTGACTTTTTCCTCTTGCTGCCAAGAATAAGAAGGCTCTATGCTGTGTCTTTTCTTCACAGATAAAGCTCACTCTTCCTCTTTCAAGTTTCCACACAAAAACTGGAATTTTATTTTTTTTTAATTTGGGAAAACGCTCCTTAAAGAGGTAAAAATCAGAATGTGGGAGCTGAAATGCTTGAAGCCTTGATGTATCCTAGAGCAACAGTAAATGGTTTATACACTTAACTGTCATGGGTTTTCCTCCACAATTTTTTGAGAAAGTGTAAGGTGGTTGTTTTGGATTTTGGGGTTTTTTTGTGCCTGCTTAAATGAAGCTATTAATTCGGCTGCTGGAACTGGACTTAGCTGCCAATGAGTGGTGATGTTTCTTCTGTCGTGCCCCCCACCCCTCAGCAGTGAGAGAGGTAAAACTGCTGGAGTCCTTTGCTCAGGCATGTAACCCCATTTAAGTCAATGAATCTACTTACGTAACAAATATTTTCATAAGGGCTTAAAGGATTAGGCTCCAGAATTGTGTCTTTTCACATGCATTATCCAGGTTTTAAAATGTATTAGCTGCAATTCTAAGTCAAAAACATTGATATTTATAATGTAGTATTTCATAGGCTTAAATGTATTCATAATTTAACAGTGCAAATACTAATGTACATATTGTACAGTTAAAATTTTAAAATCTGAATATTTTTATATCCCTGAATTTGAAGAAGTTTGTTACAAGATCAAACTAGATTTGTTAAGGGTTTAACAGCAGCATTATGGATGAAATATTGCTTGTATTTTAGTCAGGGGGTTTAAGCTGAAAAATATTGAAAAATGTTCAGTGCAAAACAGCTTAATTTTGTCTACTAGGTATTAAAAGCTCTGTATGCATGGTGGGGCTATGTAAATACTCTCTATGGCCCTCTTAATCTTGCAAGTGTTATTTATGGGTCAAGCAAAATGTAAACTATATAAATGTAAAAACCACACAAGCCTGGAATATATCAGTACAACCAGTATGCAACTCCTGTGGATGTGGATTTTATTATTATTGTTCCCCCTCCTTTCCCAAAAATAATTTCTGAAGTTCACCTACATAAAGGAAGAGAGATACTGGGTGGTTAGAGAAGGCAAGCTGGCAAAAACTATAACCTTGTAGGTGATCTCAAAAGTTCCCTTGAACTGAGATGTGGAGCAGGAGCTACTTTAAGTTATAATAAACTTCTTCCACTGTTTTAAATAAAGGGCAGAAATTTGTTAACAGTGACATCCACTAATTAAGATAGTAAATGCTAAAGCCATTGGCTTTCTGACCACCTGAAGAAAGGAAATGAATAAAATAGTAGATGCTTCTTACCAGAAAAATGTGTCAAATCAAACTTCCCCCTTCCCCTACAGAAGCTTCTGGCCTGAAAGTTTCTCTCCGGTGTTAGGATAAATTGTTGAGAAGGGGTGGGGGAAGCCTAAAAATTGGATTTTAGATTTCTAATGTGGCTCAAACTGCCACAAATTTTTGCCCTTCTTGAGGATATAGAAGTTGTAAATAAAAGCAGCTAAAAGTAAGGAATGGGTACATGGGCAGCAAAGAAAATGAAGCTATTGCGAAGGCTAAATCGGACTAGCAGTTACTTGCTTGTATTTTTCAGGGTAAAATGAGTAACAGATCCTTTACTCCCAGAAGTGGTACTCACCGTGTAAGTCACTTTTCTAGTACAAACAAGTCTTGTGTATGTGAAAGCTGATCAAAGCAATGCGCTGTTCCGTCGCATGGGCCGACGGGCACCTTGTGGGATGGTTCCAGCTGGCAGGCTCTGCCCTGGCTCAGGCACCACATGCTTTACAGCCACCAGACTGCCAGGAGTTACAGGGCATGAGGAGAGATGTTGACTTCTTAATACCTTCCCCAAGATGCTCCAACAATGATTAGGACCTTCCCTTCTTGCCTGCATTTCCAAAAATGGGAAACCAGGGTCCTCAAAACCAAAATGGTGTAACCGCTACTGCTGTGTCCTTTGTTGGACCAAGTAACTGTCTCATGGAGAAATGTCTCCACCGGTATTTCTTCTGATCTTACATCACCTCCTGAGATGCAGCATATGTACTCTCCCAAATGGCGATGTCTTATGGAATATTAGATGATAAAAGTTTTCCATAGATTGCTAGTTGCTTCTTAATACTTTCTTCAAGAAAAAAATTTAAGATGACTATACAACACAAGACTCAGATACAGTCACCAAAGCTCTAAAATGTGGGTTGTGTTATTAGACCTATATTCCAAGTGCCTCATAGGCATCCATGTCACACAGCTGCTCACTCACTATCCCTAGTGGGGGGGGAGAGAAGAATAAAAGAAAACTCATGGGCTGAGTTAAAGACAGTTTAATAGGCAAAAAACAAACACAAAAAAACCAACCAACACCCTGAAGTGATACCAAAAAAACCCCAGTAGCTCACCACTAGCCACATAATACCCAGTCTATCCCTGAACAACAGCAGCCCTGGCAAACTCTTCACCCCCGCCCCCAGCTTCATACGTTGAGCATGATGCCGTATGGTCTGGAATATCCTTGTGGTCACTTGAGGTCAGCTGTGTTCATTTCCCACTTCTTGTGCACCCCCAGCCTCCTCACCGGTGGGGTGGGGTGAGAGGCAGAAAAGGCCTTAACTCTGTGTAAGCTCTGCGCAGCAGTAGCTAAAACATCCCTTTGTTATCAACAGCTTCCGTCAGAAACCCAAAGCACGGCACCACTACACCAGCTAATACTTTAATATCCATAGTGGTTTTGTTGCCGATTTTCACCCCTACTGCTTACATTGTCATTCAAAGCTGCAAACTCACTCAAGTGAGGTTACAGAACCATTTAGAACCATTCCAGCCTCGGCAGATAGCACTGAATTTCCATACTCCTTTCCTTCAATTTCCACCTCCTTTCTTACTCTTTTATGAGATCTGCACATTATCAAGTGCAAGGAGTAACTTCCATTTTCAGTAGCTCTTACAGCAACAAAGAAATCAAATTCCTCCATCACAACATGTTTCCTTTCACCAGTGCTCTTCCTACCACTTTCCAGGAGCCCCACTGAGGCTGTTCTCTAGACCAGAGACAATTTTTTTTTATATTGATCTGAAATAAATCTGAACTACATGCTTGTTCTAAAGGAAGCAAGACTAAAAGCCATCCTTCTTCGTTAAGTTAAGGAACTGGCATAGTATATTTTACTTACATCAACAGGAAGCATACATCCCAAAAGGTTAAATGTGAACATTCAACACAATGTCAAGTATTAAATGGAAAATCAGTAACCTATCCCTTATGAATGCAAATGAAACCTTTCACAGAAATAGCAGTTAAAAAAATTAAAGACTCCTTAGTTCATGAGTAAAATTTAATCAATTTTTTCAAAATAGTCAGATTAAGCAAAGGACAATATAACAAACTTTTGAAAGATCTTACTGACCTGTTAGCTAATATAAAATACTCAAGAATACTGGCCAACAGGTCAGGCTCAAAGAATTATAGTAAAAGGGCCAATGCTCTTTAATGTTTTTATAAATGGTAAAGAGAGGAGTCAAATGTACATTAAGTAAGTTTGCTAACAACACTAAATTGAGAGGAGCTGTGGATTCCCTCAAGGGTAGAGAGGCCCTGCACAGAGATCTAGATAAACTAGCAAACTGGGCAATCACCAGCTGCATGACGTTTAACAAGAGCAAGTGCCAGATTCTCCACCTGGGACAAGGGTAGTTCTGATTATACATACAAATTAGAGAATGAGAAGCTGGAGAGCAGCCCTGCAAAAGGGCCATGGAGGTCCTGGTCAAAGGCAAGTTGACTATGAGTCAGCAGTGCCCTGGCAGCCAGGAGGGCCAACCATATCCTGGGGGCATCAGGCAAAGCATCACCAGCTGGTTGAGGAAAGGGATCGTCCCACTCTGCTCTGCACTGGTGTGGCCTCACCTTGAATATTGTGTGCAGTTTTAGGCACCACAATATAGGAAAGAGATTAGGCTATTAGAGGAGGAGCCTGGAGAAGACTGAGGGGAGACCTCATTAAAATCTACAACTTCAAGATGGGTAGTGGAGGGGGAAGTGCTGATCTCTCTGGTGACCAGTAACAGGACACAAGGAAATGGAATGAAGCTGCATCAGGGGAAGTTCAGGTTGTACATGAGGAAAAGGTTCTTCACTGAGAGGGTGGTCAGTCACTGTCACAGACTCCCCAGGGAAGTGGTCATGGCCTCAAGCTGCCAGAGCTTGGATGATGCTCCTAGTCATGTGGTTCAGTTTTAGGTAGTTCTGCGAGTAGCAGAGAGTTGGACTCAATGATCTTTACTGTTCCTTTCCAACTTGAGATATTCTATCACCGTAAGCTTAGGTCTTACTTAAGAGAAAAGCACTTGAAAATTCAGATACTTTTATCATGGTAAATTTAATAAGGCTTCTAACAAAGGAAACTCCTAACAAACTGTACAGTAACAATGGAGATTTTTAATCAAAAATATATTACACACAATTTCAGTATTTTTCCATTAGCATTTCTAACCCAAAGCAGAAACTCTGATGTAACACCCCAAAGGTTCTCTGTCCTGTAGACAAGTAGTGAAGTGCTGTAGTTATGCTTCTGCATCAGAGAAAACTTTGCCTGTGGTTCAAAACTGATCTTGGTAAAACAGATTGCCAGAAGGGGTGTGTCAGGTCTCACTACTGTGTCACAACAGGTTGCCTCTCTTCCCCTCTCTCCCTCACCAAATTAGCATCCTGTAAGGCCCATGAGCTGATTCCCACTACTGTGCAATTCACACAGTCCCAGGTGCCAACAAGAGTACTTGCAGGTCATCTCCTCTGAGCAATGGGAACTCTTAGAAACCAACAAAAGCCAACTGCAAAACTGCACCCTACTGACATGAGAACTAACCAGGCATCTCAGGAATCTCATGCAACGAATACTTAATACACCATAGGGAGATTTGCGTGTGCAAGATGCTGTGACACATTCAGTACCCTGTACGTGCAAAATCAATGCTATTTCATTTATGTTTCTGCACCCCATTCTGATGAAATCTGGAAATGGTGAGTTTGGTCATTAGTCCTTTTAGAGTTTCACATGTTCCTAAATGCAAATGTAGAGAAAACAATCATACTTATACTTACCTCTTTGTGATTATGACTCAAATTATGCCTTTTCTAAAATGTTCATAAAAAACAGTATCTTAATGCATTCAATAGTCAGGATTCCACAAACGAGTCCCGAATATTTTTCACTGGCAGTCTCTTGACTTTCCTCAATCACTGTTCCCAAAATACAAGTTGCTCTATCACATAAAAAAAAGTGGTCCCAGAATCACCTAGGTTTGAAATGATAGTCAATTTGGGGCCTGAGGGATCAACTTTGTTTTACACCTAATCCAAAGCTACCTGGGGTTACTAAAGAGATGGTACTGCTTGCTTTCCTTTCCCATCTTTGCCACCCCAATTCCTGCTCCTTCTTGAAGTCGGAAATAAAGATTACACACAGCCTCGTTATTGTTAAAACTGATGGGTGAAAAGTGGTGAGAAGGTGTAAGGGGGGAGAGGAACAGAGTAGGAAAAGGGAACTTTCCCTGCTCAGTGGCTGCCTGCAGTTACATTCTGTATGGTGTAGTCAAAAACACAGCAAATACAAACAGTAAAAAAAATTAGAATCCATCCTACATAATACTGCTTACTAGTAATGAGTCCTGATAGGGAAAACACCAAAATTTAAAAGGCATTTGCAGAATGCACAGTTATAAAAAAATACAGCACTTCTTATATTAAGCAGTTAGAGTTGCTCTAGCAGTCAGAGTTAACCTCTTGTGTAATTTTACAGAATTAATCTGAATTTTTAAATTAAACCAAAACAGATTATTTAAATCATAATTGTGACCAATTTTGCAAGTCTTCCTTTCCTATAGTATATATGAAAACCAGACATATTTCTGCATATGTTGACAAATGAGAGCTGTGTCTTATTATTTTAATAAAAAATACAATGTTTGAAGTT